CTGCTGCTCTCTTTTTTTTTGTTTGTTTGTTTCTTGTCCTCATTTTTTTTTTTTTTTTTGTAAGGACGGCGGCTTTGAGTAAACTGACCGGCAGCAGCTAAATTAAATGAAGAATTACTTCATTTCATTGAAGTTAACTCATCTAGTTCCAGCTGGATTCGATGTATGAGCCAGGGCCGTTGGTGAAGAGTGCTGCTCTTACCACTCTTAAATAAACAAATTGCAGTTCGTTTGAGTAGCTCGCTATAGGTGCTCATCTCAGCTCTTGCGTGTCTCTTCTCCCTGCAGCCGTCCGATTGACAGTCGGACTAAGTGTAGCGGCGTGAGTCTACTCCGGTTTAGGACGGGATAGAAACACGCCGGAGAACATCACCCCCATCCCTGACCAGACACGAAACCATTCTCTCTAAATTTGCTTCTGGCAAATCGGCCCACAGCAGTTGGTTGCAAATCTCTTCTCTCTCTCTCTCTCTCTCTCTCTCTCTCTCTAATACACACACACACACACACACACACACACACACACACACACACACACACACACTCTTCCGCCTCCAGTCTTCTCTGCCTCGCTCCCAGAGTGGGTAAAAAAATTTTGGTTTGGGGAAGGAAACACGCATGTGATGAAGCGCTCATCCAGAAAGGAACAAAGGTCGGACAGAACCTAATTCTGAGCTGTTGATGTGATGCAGCTGGAAAGGGATTTACCAGAAGTACATAATAGAACAGAAACAAATGTGAAGGGCGAAGGAGCAAAGATGCGGAGAGAGGACACGATGACCTACAGCGACAGCGAGAGGAAACAAGGGGAGACCAGAAAAGAAGCCAACTCACCTGAAATTAACGCATTGAAAAGGAAAGCTCAGCGCACCTCCTCATCTTCTTCCCACTCACCACCCTCGTGTTGAATCACAGTGGTACACGCTGAGGGGAAAGCACGCGTGAAGGTTTACCCGCTTCGCCAGAAGCGTTTCTTTCCCCGGTGATTGCTGCGCTGAGCGCTCTCCTCTTTGCCACGATAGCTGCAATATGACCTTGTCGCACATTTCCGACCTCTCTCTCTCTCTCTCTCTCTCTCTCTCTCTCTCTCTCTCTGTGTGTGTGTGTGTGTTTGTGTGTGTTTGTGTGTGTGTGTGTTTCTGTGTCTTTGAGTTTCTTTGACTTTTTTACCCAAGAGCCTAGCTCAGTGGGTACACCATTGACCTGTTGAAATACAGACCCGAGTTGGAACCCGGATGATGGCCCTGCAGGGCCCGTCCCGGACATTCAGCCTAAAAGCCTAAAACTTAGGGCTTACAGGCCCCCGTCGTTTCGGCCAGAAAGCTGAAAAACGAGGGCCTGCAGGCCCTACTCCGTTTCAGCCTATTTCTGGGTCTTTCAGACCCAGAGTTTTTCCAGCCTGAAACGGAGGGCCATTTTCAGGCCCTCATTGTTTCGACCTGCCCCTAAGACTCAGGCACGTAAACAGGCCAGAAATAGCCTGTTCCTCACGTGCTCGAGCAGGAGCTGCAGCTGCAGCCCCTGCCTGCCTTCGGCATTGGCAAGAGCAGCCTCCTGGACTGCTCGCACGAGTCAGGAGGCACACCCGAGAAGTACATAGGACTGTCCTAGGCACTTCATGGGTAGGTAGTCAGACAGTAGTCAGGGTAGTCTTCAGGATAGCGGAGCAGCACTCAGGAGGAGCGCTGCTCAAGGGCAGCTTAGCGCTAGTGTAGTCTTCGGCGCTGGGCGCCATAGCTGTAGTCATCAGCGCTGGGCGCTGTAGTAGTAGTGATACCGGAGAGAGGTACTGGCGGAGGCCAGTGGTACTTACCTGTGGCGCCATCGCTCCAGCTCCATCTTCGTGATACCTGCATCAAGGCGCCGACTTCACAGGTTAGTTCTGGACTGAGAGAGAGAGAGAGTTCTTCTTCTTCCTCTTCTAAGTCCACCACCTCTTCTTCCCCTCTCGCTGCCTACTTCTCAGTATCGGTGGACTAGGAGAGAGAGATATGACCTGAGACTTGACGACATTGGATACAGACTCGACATTTTGGATTCAGACATTTTGACGAGGGACTATTTGGGCCTGTGCCGAAGACTTGGTGTTGTCTACATTCCCATCTCTCCCTCCTCTTCGTCTAACCCCCCTCATCTTCGTCTGTGTATGTGTGGGGCTGGCGCAGTCTTCCTGTGTGAAGCGCCAGACCCCTTTCACACTCTGGATGATGATGATGATGTATGTTCAGAGCTGCATTGCAACATTGATTGATCGGATCATTGGTATCTAAGTCTTCCGTTTGCGCCATCTTGTACTTTGCATTGAGAGGTAGGTTCTTGTTCTGGTCTGCACAGTTACAGTATGCAACAGTTTGGTATCGGAGCGGACCTCTCATTCAGAGGACCCGCTCAATCAAGTAGCGAGCTTGCTCGATCTATTGAACTCATTAGTAAATCAAGTAGGACTTCGTCAAATCTCTGAATTTTTTTTTTCTTTCTTTCGCATATCTGAAAATTCGTAATAATAGCATCTCGTTATATCTGAAATTTCTGATAATCGCATTTAGTTGTTTTCTGAAAATTTCGATATTACTATTTCGTTTTCAGGTAACAAATATCTGAAAATTTCTGAAAATCGCATTTCGTTTTATCTGAAATTCCAGATATTAGCATTACGATCTACCTGAAAATTCCGATATTTGCATTTCGTTTTTACGCAACAAATATCCGAACTTTTCTGAAAGTAGCATTTCGTTTCTGATGTTTTGCATACATAGCGAAATTTCTGATATTCGCATATTCTCTGACTTTCGTATTTCGTTCTCTAGGCAAATAGGATAACGATAGGAATGGTCATATTCTCGGAAACTCGATTTACTCGGTTCTGAAAATCGAATCTCCATCCTATCTCGCAAATTTTTTTTTGGAAAACTGAAATCTGGCGGGGCCTATCAGCATGGCATTTTAGGCATAGTAGCAGATTGTCATATTCGGAGAAACGGGATTTAGTCCTTTTTCTGAACATCGCATCTCTACTCTATTTCGTGAATTTTTTTTTACAGGATCGCAGTTGGTAAAGCCGAAACTTTGCGAACCTAGCCTAGATCTCGTTCATCGTACTTTTCTGACATGTCTCACGCATAACAGATCGACAGATATACAAAAAAAAAAAGAAAAAAAAAAAGGTAGTCCTCTTTTATTTTTTATTTTATTTATCTGTTGATTAGGGCCGGAGGAAAGTATTGTTGGGCTGGTTACCTACCTCCGTTTTCCATCCCACCCACCCCTTGCATGCATCCCAGTTCGGTACAGTGCCACGTCACAGTGCCAGATCAGCAGTGCCACGTCAGCAGCACCACGTCACAGTGCCACGTCACTGTGCCAGATCAGCAGTGCCACGTCAGACACAGTGCCATGTCAGCAGTGACATCAGACACTGTGCCACGTCAGCAGTACCACGTCAGACACAGTGCCACGTAAGCAGTGCCACATCAACAGTGCCACATAAGCAGCAGAGCCACGTCAGCAACATGATGGGCCTGCCGGGCCAACTGGCCAATGAGCCCATTGCCGACTACAAAAAGCGCTTCCAGGCTCAGCTCGTTGCAATCGAGGTTGAGGAACAACACCAGCTGGCAGACAAGGCTGCCCAGCTACAGGCTGACGAAGCGGCAGCGGCAGAGAAGCTGCGACTACAGGCCGAGGCTGACGCAGATGCCCAGGCTCGCCGCAAGGAAGCCCAGGATCTGCTGCAGCGGCATGAAGCCACAAGCATCGACGGACTCAAGGTCTGGCATCCGCCCTCTGGTTGATCCACCTGGCAACCTCCCACGGCGTCGACGTACCAGACTTAAGAGACAAGATCACATGGGAGGAACTGACACGGCTGTGGAAGAAGCGGTTCATCGTCGACGACGCGTCGGCACTCGCCATCAACCGTCTGTTCACCATGACACAGGGCAACACTGCAACACGGGATTGGCTCACAAAGAGGCAGAAGATTGCAGTAGTGCCCAATCTGGACCTGCCTTTCGCTCATCTCAGACGTGAGTTCTACAACAGGTCCTGTGCTGCATTGAGACAGGCTCTTGGTGATCGCGAGCAGTACTCAACCTTCGCTGAGATCATTGACAAGGCGAGGGAGATCATCAAGACCAACAGGTCAGCTGCACACGAGAAATCAGCATGGCAGTCATCCTATGTGGAGAAGGTACGAACTGGTCCGCGACAGCAGCACTTCGCTGCAGTCTAGTCAGACAGTGGAGATAACCCAGCATCAAGTGACGGAGATCAGGTGGCTGCTGTCCAGCCGCGAAGCAACAACAAGTCCCGCAACAATGGGAAGGCGAAATCCGCATCACAGGCCGGAAATGGACAGCCAGTACAAGTTCCATGGGTCAAGTTTGGCTTGACCGAGGCGGAGTACAAAGTCCGCGGCCGCTACGGCAGCTGCTATTGGTGCAACAACACCAAGCACAAGACCTCCCTGTGCCAGGATCAGGRCAAGGAGGATGTGCGACCCCGCCTCAGCTCGGGAAACTGAGYTCCGCGGAAGGTGAGGCGACTCCACCTTCTACTCCGCCAGATTCGGCYGCCTTGCTAGCGGCCTCCTGCACATCTGGGGAGRAYGCGAATGTCGCAAGTYCTCGKTACACTTACGAGGACTATGCTGTCCACTTGGTTCCACCGCTGGACCAACCGCTCCACGTGCAACAATCCATCGCATGCACGGTTTCATCACCATCGGCAACCGATTCGGCAGCTTCGCCACAATCTATCGCCGGGGATTCGACGTCATGGTCAAGACTTGATGAGATCGACCCGTTGACGTTCACGGACTTCCAGTGGATGCCCGTTCCCTCGACCGGACGATTGCCGAAACCGCATTGCAACGTGCTCATGGCACAATTGCGGGACTACTTGCACATTGCAGTACCAGCTCCGTTGATGGACGCCGGAGCAAAGGTTGTCAACCTTCACGCTTACATCGCGAAGATCGACCGCGAGTTCAAGACGCAACGGTACGACGATATCGACGCACCATTGCTATACGTACGCATTCAGATCAGAGAGGCGACGTGCAGTGCCTTGATCGATTGCGAAGCATCTCGCAACTACATCAGCTAGGACTTCATGTTACGCGCCGGCCTTGGCCCACGTGTCCGGAGAAAGTTCCAAGCACTTAAGACGGCTATGCTCATGGCACCCGTCCTTAGCATCTATGACCCCACCTTGCCGACGAGAGTGACTACGGACGCTTCCGGCTACGGCATTGGGGCAGTCTTGGAACAACACGACGGCGACGACAGCCACCCTGTGGAGTATTTCAGCCACAAAGTGCCTCCCATCAACTCGCTTGATGATGCAAGGAAGAAGGAGCTGCTCGCATTCGTGATGACTCTCAAACGCTGGCGGCACTTCCTCCTTGGGCGTCGTAGGTTCACATGGGTCACAGACAACAATCCATTGACCTACTACAAGACGCAGAACACGGTGAGCAGCACAATCGGACGATGGATGTACTTCATCGATCAATTTGACTTCACACCGAAACATGTCCCCGGCCTCTCCAATCGCGCAGCAGATGCACTCTCGCGAAGACCAGATCTTTGCGCGATGACACATCATGCCTTCGCATTCGACGAGGAGCTTCAGCAACACTGTATCCGGGCATATGAGTCTGATCCGGACTTCACGACGTTGTACGCACAACTATCTACGGATCACCCATCGGCCAGCCACTATTGCATTGCCGACGGATACTTACTCCTCCACTCGAGAGGCAAGGACTTATTGTGTGTCCCACGCGACCGTCATCTTCGGACTCGCCTTCTCGGGAAGTACAACGACTCGCGACTCGTCGGCCATTTCGGAGTCAACCGCACTATTGCACGGCTTCGACAACGATTCCGATGACCCGATCTCATTACCGATGTCACTCGGTATTGCGACTCTTGCGAAGTTTGCCGACGCAGCAATCCCCGCAGCCGCAATCCTTACGGCGAGTTACAACCGATGCCTATCCCACGGGAACCCGGTTTCTCCATTGCCATGGACATCACCGGTCTGTTTCCTCGCGACCGGCTCGGGCACGACGGCATCCTSACGGTTGTGGACCGATTGAGTAAGTACGCGCGTTTTCTCCCTTGCAAGTACTACTCCACGGCTCYCGAGCTGGCACGCCTCCTGCACACTGGTTGGATCTGTGGCCACGGTGTACTAAAAGACATTGTCAGCGACCGCGACACTCGTTTCATGTCGGCATTTTGGACTGCTCTCATGCAACAGTCCGGCACAACAATAATACCAAGTTCGGCTCGGCATCCTCAGCCAGACGTGCAGACGGAACGGGCACATAAAACCGCTCGAATGAGCTTCATACGCTCATCCGTCCGGACCAGAAAGATTGGATTGACCGCCTCCCCGACATCGAGTTCGCCTACAACACTTCGGTGCATCCGGCGATCGGCGTGACTCCATTCAAGTTGCACCACGGTGGACGGAAAGGCCGGATCTTCGCCGACCTTCTCCTCCCTCGACCAGCCGACATTGACGCTGCCTGCTCTCCCGCTTTTGTTCGGAAGTACAGGGAATTGCTGACTCAAGCCCGCGCAAATATGCAAAAGGCTCAAGTCCGCATGCAATAGCAAGCCAACAGGCGTCACGTACCATGTCCCATCCGCGCCGGTGATCTGGTTTGGGTCTCCACGGAAGAGTTTGCACAGGAACAGGATGTTTCACGCAAACTGCTTCCCAAGTGGTTTGGACCTTGGTCTATGACAGCAGCCGCGGGTGATGAGCCCGATGACCCTTCATTTGTGATCAACATTCAAGAGCATCTGACGGTCCATCCGGTCTTCCACGCCTCAAAGCTGACAACATACACGCCAGCCAAGAGCGACGACTTTCCGGGCCGACGATCGCAGGACCCTCCTTCTATGGATGGTCATCAGGAAGTTGACCGCGTCATCTCCGATCGCAAGTACGGCAGGACGCCGCGGCAGTACAAAGTCACATTCAAAGCATGCGATCGCGACGACACTCGGTGGATTTCAGGCGCAGATTTGAAAGCATCCGCACTGCTGATCTACGCGCATTATGAAAAGCGGAGGTTAGCTCAGGAAGCTTCACGACCAGCCCCTCCCACCCGGACTGTGGCCCCTCCCTTAGACAGACAGCTTCGCCCTCACAGGTAAGCTCAGTTCTTCAAGGAGGGGGGGGTGTGGCATACTGCATAGCCACACGGGCCCTACAGGGCCCGTCCCGGACATTCAGCCTAAAAGCCTAAAACTTAGGGCTTACAGGCCCCGGTCGTTTCAGCCAGAAAGCTGAAAAACGAGGGTCTGCAGGCCCTACTCCGTTTCAGCCTATTTCTGGGTCTTTCAGACCCAGAGTTTTTCCAGCCTGAAACGGAGGGCCATTTTCAGGCCCTCATTGTTTCGACCTGCCCGTAAGACTCAAGCAGGTAAACAGGCCAGAAATAGCCTGTTCCTCACGTGCTCGAGCAGGAGCTGCAGCTACAGCCCCTACCTGCCTTCGGCATTGGCAAGAGCAGCCTTGTAGCGGACCTCGGGTTGGCCTGTGAGACCAGCCCCTTGGCCTGTTCTCACAGGCCTGTATTATATTCGAGGTAGGCCAGTCCAGGCCGGTACCTCTATCGGTACCAGCCAGTCCAGTCCAGTCCAGTCCCGTCAGTCCGCTGGGGTATACCCCAGCCATTGTCAGTTTTCAGTCTCATTCCTCACTTGCACATTTTGGAGTACGTGCGTTGGAGTCTTGCGTGGGGAGCTGCGTTGTGCCATCCTGCTCCCCCTTCTTCCTCCATCTCCATCTCTATCACTAGCGGAGCACCACACCTGGTGGGTCCGCTACATTGGTATCGGAGCGGGAATGGTCCCCGCCCCCACCCAGCACACTGCACTGCAGGGAAATACGGCAAAACCCGACAGTCAGGTTTTTGGCTGTTTTTGGGGCGTTTTCGGGCAAAAAAGCGGGAAAAACATCGAAAAAAGGTGCTGCAGCAGGAGAACTCCACGTGGCGAAAAAGGAAGC